TCTCCTCTCTTTTCAGCCTTGATCCGCAATTTTTGAACTATCATTTTTCTTTAATCAGTTTTTGAATTACATCTATATTTCCTTTTTCTCTTTAGTTTCAAAATTGAAATGATTGATTTAGATCATTCTTTGAATGAAATTCTCGACCATTATTTCAGTTAGTAGAAAAATTTGCAATTTTTGTTCCAAATAGTTTCTAATGATTTCAGTTTCGTTCAAAATCTTTTGTTCAAGAAATTGAAAGTTTCAGCCAAATTTCAATAAGCGAAAAAGCTGAAAGTTACATTTTACTTGGTTATTATTTGAAATAAGGACAAATGTTCCATGAACAAATCTTTCAAACTTTTTGCTCATTGAAATATGAAAAAAATTTAAATGCTTTAAATATAAAAAACAATTGTCTAAAATGGTTTAAATCAGAAAAAATTCATTGAAAATGTTTTATATCTGAAAAGTACATAAATTTCAATCTCTTGCTATTCAACGTCTCAATATTTACGCATTTTTACAAAATAATGAAAGTACATAATGCACTACTTTTAATTTTTTGTTAAAAACTAAAAGAACACTATTTTTAGAGATTTATAGTGATTTTTTGAAAAACTTTTGAGATAAAACTTGACAATTCGGCCATTTTTTCGGTCCGAAACGGCGATCTACGGATCTGACACATATATGAGTGAGGACGATTTGGGTGACCGCCTCATTTTTTTAAACCTTATTGAAAACAAAAGATTTTTTATTTTATTATATTGTTTTCATGGAGATCTATATCGGTACTGCCAGGGCCAATCTCCGTCCTGATCCTGATTTTTAAAATACTGGTTACAAGAAATCGAATTTGACTGTGATTATCCTTCTTAAATACGTTTGAAAATTTTGCAGTAAATCTCTTTTTCCTAAAAGGTTATTTTCTTATAAGACAAAAACTCCTTAAAACTCAAAAACCCTAAAACCCCAAAAGAATATTAAATATCTTAAAAATAAACTGATAATTTTTTTAGCTTTATTGGTTCTCACTGCAATAAAATGCGTGTTATATAAAAATGTACTTTATGAAAACTATCTTAGAAGGGCGGTAATTTTAAGTCGAGTGTCAATTTCTAACCGAATAAAGCACATCTTTATATGCATGACAACAAATGATGGACATCAGTCTTTTGCAATTTACTGTAACCTGTAACCATAACTTTTTGCCCCAATAAAAATGACAATAAATTACGATAAATTAAGAATCGAAAAAGTTTATATAGGGCCGAGGCTCTAAACCATTATATTAGAGCCCACCTCTTCACTAGAGGATGTTTTTATATTTGTATACGCTCAAATTGATCATCTCGACATCAAGATGTATGGACATGAGGAAAAAAAAAAAATTCAATTTTAAAAAATAGTGCATCTTGTAACGTATTTTTGGATCGTCAATTTTCAAGATTTTCAAGTTTTCATAGATTTGTTCGATAAGCACTATTTTTGAAGCTTAAAATTTCATCGAAATATATTTTAAGGCTATCACAAAATTTCTAATATTGAAACCACATTTTTTAGTACTATTTGAAAGTAGGCTTTACTTTCATTGTTTAGAGCCTCGGCTCTATACAAATTGCACCCATCTATTTATATTATTTTTCATTTTTCAAGTTCTCCTTTACAAAGAAGTAGTATATTTTTTTGAAAGGACATATATATATATTTTAAAGAAATTCAGTGCTTCTTTTTTGTTTTTTTAATCCTTACGGTAGCAAGTCAAAGACGGATGGCAGAAGGGAAATATATCATGAGTCATTTATTTTTGGCATAAGGTGTTTACAGTTAATGTTGAGTTTTGGATGTGAACTTGGGTTGTTGTTTTTATTTTATTGATCAAGCTTAAAGTTTAAAAGCAATTTTTTGAACTTTATAACACATCCAAGCTATCAGGTTTATATAAATAATTGTGATTTCTCTATACCAAAGATAAATGATCTCATGGTATACAATCTCGGCACCGAATAAAAATTGATGTTGATCCTTAGCCTACAACAATCCTAACTCCTATCTCAAATCATAGTTGCTAAACTCATTTAAAGCGAAAATCAATACACTGGTTTATTTTATAGAAGTTGTAGAAGGTATAGTTTTTGAACTAACTTGAAAACATTTTTTTTGAAGAAAATAAAATAATTATTTTAATGCATATTTTTTTAACATAAATTTAAGAATAAAATTGTATAATTCCCTCAAAATTAGTCGTCATTGTCTTTTTTATTTATTTATTTATGAAATTTACAATTGGATATATCTCCATTTGATCTCCAACAAGGAAAACATTGGTTTATTGTTTGAAATGAAATTATTTTTTTATCATAAAAAGGTAATATATTAAAAAAAGGAAAAAGTTTATATGGATTCGAGACTCTAAACAATCAAATTAGAGCGCACATCAAAAATTTCACTAGAAGAGGTTGTTTTTTATGCCCAAATTAGAGCACGCATCAAAAATTTCCGTAGAAGAAGTTGTTTTGATCCCAAATATCCTCAAATGATCATCTCGACATCAAGATGTATAGACATTAGAAAAAAATGGATTTCAAGTTTTGAAAATAATGCATATTGTAATGCATTTTTAGACCGCTAATTTTCAAGATTTTTAAGTTTTCATAGATTTGCTCGACCTATACTATTTTTGAAGCTTTAAGTTTTATGATTAGAGATGAAAATATATTTTAAGGCTATCAAAAGTTTTCAGTATTGGAACCATATTTTTCGATGCTATTTTAAGGTTCATCCTACTTTGATTGTTTAAAGCCTAGGCTCTATACAAACCGCACCCACATAACAAACACATGTTTTCCCTCAACTAATTTGCACTCAATTTCTTCTTGACCATATTTCTTGGCTCTTTTTTTTTTTTGGACAATAACAGGAATAATACTAAAACAAATTGTTGGGGTACCTCGGTGAGCCCGCAATGCCTATTATGGATTTTAGCCAAATTCCAATGTGGGATTTTCTATTTTGGACATTTTTAGTACTTCTTTTTTTATTAGGAAAATTTGGAAGGAAAAAGTCTTTATTAAGAAAGATATACATAGAAAAGTTGAATTATTATAAATAGCTCATTTTAGTTGAATGATATAGACGTAGGTTTTATGAACACAAAATAAAGACTCA